AAAAAAAAAAAAAAAAAAAAAAAGAACCAACCCTGGCCACTGCACTGACTCATGCAGCCCCCTCCCCCAGCAAATGCACTTTCCAAAAAAACAGAGGAGTGCAATCCTTTCGGGTTTCTCTCTTCTCTCTCCATTGCCCTGGGCAATCATGTTAAAACTCACATGGCTGGTGCTTATTCAGATAAACCTAACAATGCACACCGCTGGTTACCATGTGAATCTTCACAAACCACACAAGAATGTGCTGGTTCAAATCCCCCCGACCCCCTCCAAAGCAAAATTTATTCAAGACAGCAAACTGCTCAGCAGCTTTATGAAAGCAAATGGTGCTAGAGGGAATTCTATCTTGTATTTACAAATTAAAAATTAGATGCATCATCATGCAATAAAGGTTAGAATAGCAGCAAAAAGCTAGAATGGCTTATTCAATTCTATCACTATTCCTTTCTTTATAAGCTCAAATACATACATACATATATACATATGAAACATGCCATGTATTAATTATCCACATTTGATACAAAAATTACACAAATAAGGACATTAAATAACTGGTCACATTACGCGTTCTTGTAAAAAGAGAAGTGAAATATTCTATAGCATGGGAAGGAGTAAAACTATTACTATGGAAAGTTTTTTCTGAATATGAGAATTAACAAAAATAATAACAAAACAGCAACACTGAAGAAAAGCCATATCTACCACAATTTATTCTTTGGATTTAAATGCAACTGTGGTCAGGAATGCTAGACAATTTTCTAATCTGACTCCTGTTCTTAATCAGTCTTACTCTACACAGCAGAAAAATTAATAGACACTCCAGTTGGAAAGATCTTTAAGGTCATCTAGTCTAATTTCAGGTAACTGTAGTTCTAGAAATATTAACTCAGAGAAAAATCTGCTAAATTTGTAGAAGATTTGTAACTAAATTTTATAATTATTAAGATTACCAGTTTTGATGAATATTAATTTTTCTACCTTCAACCTCAAGAAATCATTCATATTATAAGCTTTATAATTCTTCCAAAACATTTTGATAAGAGCTTTACAACTGGGAAATAAATTTCCTCCACCATACACTTAAAAAATATATTAAATTGAAAATTATAGAAATTTTTAAAACCAAGAAAAAATACATTTTAACAGACCTATAATTTTCTTAATTAAATTGTTCTTTCTCTGTACTTGACCAGTCACTTTTAAAGCTTTAATTAATAATTAGAAATATCAAGATAAATAAGGCTTTAACACTATGGATGAGAGAAAATTTTCTTTTTTAACCACTTAAGTATTGAATAATTTTTAAAAATCTTAACTTGTTCCTAGTTCAATAATGACATTTCTGTAACAATAACAAAAACATTTTTTAGTTATGAATATTTAGGTTATTTTCACCATTTCACAAATTTAACTGACATTAGAATTTAAAATGTTGCAGCATAAATTTAAGGATTTCTCATATTAAATTTGTCATTGCTACATTAGTATCTATCTACAAAATATTGGTCAACTGTAGAGGAAATAGCTATGTGCAGTGAGTAGATTTTATACTAGCAAGACTACTTTTACTTGGCATTTGCTTTCTCATGGGAGTATATTTATACACACACACACACACATATTTGAATGCTGACTTGGGAAGTTAAGTAAACTATTTTGATGATTTAAAGAAAAATTTAATAATACCTTTAAAACTGATCAAGATTTACATTTGTATGTTCATGGCTAAATTTAAAAAATTTTTAAATTCCCTTTTAATAGCTTCACCTAGATGTAATGTCATGTTTTAAAAACCTGCATGTAAGTCTATGTGTTACCTGTTATGCATTTTAAGAAAGGATTACTCACCTATAACACCAGTCACAGCTAGCTAGATACACTGACTTTGACTTGAACAGACTACAATGTAGCTTCTGATTAATTTAAAGATTCCAGTGTACTTTTGCTACAAAAGCCATATCCTCTTGCAACAAATAGGATTAAGTTTTGATGCTGCATTTGAGCCAAAGTGTTGAAATAAAGAGATTCTGTTTATGTCCATCTGCACTGAGCTGTTTTGTTAATTTAAAAATCTGTTTTTTATATATAGGGCCAATTATTCATTCCCCGATTGAGTTTATTTGCTGAAGTTGATAATTACCTTGGAAAAAAGGCAAAAGAAATACCTATAAATACTTCGATAGAAAGGACCTAAAGTTCTTGTAGTAAACCTTCAACCTTGCCACTATAAATAAGCCTGGCACTTTGATGAAAATTAACACTAGTTTTGTAAAGAGCACATTGGGGGATTGCAGTCAAGTCTTATCTTTAGTTCCAGTCAACTAGCAATCCTGAAAGAGTTTGCATCATCATCAGAGCAGGCCATTTGATAGGATTCTACTGCTGTACCTAATCAATCTATGGAAGACTGTGGCTGTGCTGTGTAACAAAGCTAAAATAGATTTACAAATGGGGTTTTAGGGGATAAGCTCCTCCACAGGATTACATATTGATTTTAAATATAAAAAGCTTATCATATAAACCATAACTACAAAAATAGTGAACCTATGCATAAATCCCTTTAGAAGAGCACCCACTTCAAACTCTAAGCCAAGAATAAATCAAGATGTACAAAATCCTAGAGAAGATCCATTTCTTGTGCAGAAAATGAACATACCACTTTCTAAAAGCCCACCCCAATGTGTGCAGAAATGAATTTATCTTTCCTGAGGGGGCATTAAATAATCTGGAACAAAAAAACTATAGGAAAAGTATCTAAAAGATGTTTGTTAGCTTAAGGGATCCTACAACTTAGCTCAGTAGAGTGAAACTCCTGCTATGAAAAACACCTCAAGGAAAAAAAAAGGCAAAAAACAGGCCAAAGTGATTATGGATTTTCAGAAGAATGGATATATTGAATTTTTTTCCCTCTCAACCAAGCTGTTAATATTTCTTTCAATGTGCTATATGGCTATTAACATTCTGTGCTTTTCTCCTGGTAAATGGTTTTAGCAGCAGATTTATTTGAAAATATTTTAGTTTACTTATTATGAAAACCATCTTATGGCTACTAAATAGAAGATACAGGAAAGAAAAGAGGAATGAACCTTGAAACAAAGGAAGGCAAAACAAAACCAACTAGTGTTGCCTATTCATGTGTTTTTCTGTGGGTTTTAACACTCCAAAAGGCTACTGAACTGTATGTGCGTACATTCTAAAGCCTGGCTCAAAGGACACTGTATTCACAGAACTGATCATCACACAGTCAGTACCTGTCTAGGACAGCCCAGCCCATGCACTGCCCAGGCTAGTGGGACAGGCCTCTTACTAACAAAGTGTCTTTATTTGTCATCAACAGGCTGCTTTTTTCCTCAAGTCTCTTTTTTCCCTCAACCAGCAACAGAAACTGGCACAATCACATATGGAACAGTGACCTTAATTAAACAATAAAACAAAACAGAACAAAACCTCACAAAACTACCAATTGTATTAAAGGTGTTTGAAGAAGAAAAACACTTCCCCCCCCCCCTTTAAAAATGACTTTATACTGATATGTAGAAGAAAAGGCAGATAAAATGTTATTCAAGATTGCAGGTTTGGTATATAGGGACAGGACTGCCCATAAAAATGAGATCTTTTAAATGTATCATGGCTCTCTTTTTAAGATGGTATTTGGTAATAATACTGGTTTGGGGACAGAAGTATTATCTGCCTTAAAAGTCAACTGTATTGTATCAAGCTGTATTTTTGGGATAATTTAACTTACTATACATGAGAGAGTGTTTTTAATACTCTGTATTCAGTGTAATGTATAATGAATCTATAAAGAATAAACTGTATAATGAGTCATACATTATACATACTATATATACATACATTTTATATTACACATACATATATATGCCATATAAATAGTATCTGCTATACCCACTTTTCAACTATTTAGCTTTCCAATCTCTTTTAAAGGCTACATCATGACTACAAAAATTTTATCAAGAGGAAAAATACCATTTAGCCTACCTGTGCGTTTTATTTCAATGGCAAGTTTCACAGAACTTCTTAAATAATTTTGACAAATTCTATAGTCATTATCAATTTATAATTTGATACATTTGGATAGCCATTTGAAGGAAATTAGTTATCTGAAGGCTTTTAAATAAGGTAAATCAGATTTCTAAATGAGGATATACAAACGTTGTCAGTCATATTTATCAAATGAGATTACAGATACAAAAGTAATTAAAAATAAAACCTTTATACATGGATAAGATTACATTTAGATAAATAGCATATAGTTTATTTAATCACAATATTAATTGACATATTTAAAAATATATATGGTTTCATTTGGCTTTCCCTTAAAACTTAAATTTCTAGTTTCTAAACTAATTAGAATTGGCTTATTATGGATCAGGTACCTTATCAGGTAAAGAAGGAAATTACTATGGACAGTCAATGGGTTAAGAGGTCAATACAGAATAGGAAAATCAATTTGCATTGATTAGACAAAAGGTCCATTTTACAGAGCCCAAAAGGATTGGTTTTTAAGTAGACATCTTTGAACTATAAGACATTTGCAACTAAAAGGTGTAAGGAGAACAGCATTCTTAAACACATAAGAATTTTTTTTTTTTTAAATCACATATAGTAAATGCCACAGTTAAGCTAGCTGATGTTTACTGATGTTATGAACCATGGATTACTATATAATTCATTTAAAAGCTTTATGAAAAGAATGAAAGTGTTTCATTTATCTCTTATGTCAATCTTTGCCTGAATATTCATTTAATAGGAGTTGGGATCTTAAGAGCTATAGTAGATTGCAGACATATTTCAGTGTTGACATCAATTAAATATTAAGGTAAAATTTAGAGTCTGATGTGAAAAATCAAAATGATAAATCTTTCCCCAACCTCCCTTGTAAAAACAACCTTAAATTTCACATAGTAAAAGGTAATTAAATCATTTCACTCCTTATATTTTCCACTTAATGGACATTTCAGCTTACTGACAAGAGTTAAGACAATTTTGTGTTTACTAGCATACATAATGAATATCTACCTGAATTATGGTTCTTAGGTTTTACGTGACTGTTGCTTTCTGACTCTAAGGCATTATCTGTAATTCCTGTTGGTTCCTAGTCAGGCCACACCTAGTGAGACCAGAAGTGTATTACACTCTTTAAATCTCTTTGACAGTTGACACTTCACATACCTCACACCACCACAGCATTTCTTACCTTCAATGGCTAGCATTGCCCGCAATTCCCGATTCAGCAGCTCATACCGTCGTTCTAAATCATGCTCTTTTTCCCTAGGCAAGTTGCAAAAGTTCATCAATATGCTAATTACTAAATCATTAAACACTTAAAAGAACCTTTAGGTTACATTGATTTTAGGACTCATAACTGACTTTTCTCTTTAACTTTAAGCTACTCCAAACAAATGATACACAAACCTAAAACCTTCCTTAGGTTGAATATTTACTAGTGCTATCATTTTTCTCCTTCAATTTTGAATTGCACAGAGGTATAGTTTAATCTTCAGATAAGTAGTCTCATTCTTCAACGCTTCTTCTATTAAGTGCCAGGTATAAGGCTATTTTGTAAAATATTTATCATAGTTCACAATAAACACTCTTTTGTCTAGACCACCATGTGAAAAGAATATAAGAAACATGTAAGTACTACCAGTGAAAATTTAATACAGAGACAATTAAAAATCCAGGAATGGTTGAGTTTTGTGCCTCTTCATAACTCTTTTAATCAAGTTCAGGAGTGGCAGAAATGACAAAAATAGAGGTTCTTGCTAAAATAAAACATGTAAGCCTGCTCCTTCCCACACTAGGTGGCATAATATAAGAATATTGCTAGTGAAGAGAAAGAAACACGCATTAAGTCCTATAGTGAACTAAATGCTAAAGACCAAGAAGGCTTACATTTGGTCTAGTCTCCATTTTACTGTACACAAAAGTGATCTTTTTATGATTTGAGGAATCATCCAAATTTAGGGTAACATCATCTGTGAAATATAAATGTACTTTTGTCCATATTAAGAATTATTTCCATTTTTAACTTAAAATGTGATGTTAAATAAAGTTTAATTTTATTTCTTCTCCCCTCTAACCCTTAATATATATAATCCAAATCTCCTTTTTGTGCACAAGGGTTTTATTTCTTAAATACATAAATTTTTTATATTTCCTGGCTTTCTATATGATAAACATTTTTTTCAGTATATATCACTATTTTAAAAAACTCACTGTTCAGATGAGAAATTATTATATACAATTTTTAATTTTTATTTTTATATAAACTATACTATAATCTCCAAGGAAAGAAAAATATTAAGCCTAATTAAATTGAAACCCCAAAGAAGGCAATGACAAAAAGCCTAAGATTCATTTGTTGTGGGAAAAACAAGCATAAGCATGAGTACTTACAGGAGAGAAAGCTGGTTCATTCTCCTTATTAAGGCATTTTTCTTATTCACCAACATAAACCATTCCTGCATCATAGCTTCTTCTTCTTCTGTGTTCCTTCCTGTAATTCAGCAAATTATTTCTTATTATATGACAGTTTACAAGCCAAGTAATAGTTTAGCACAAGTGTTTTTTTTTTACATGAAAAATTTTAGCTACCCCAATAGTACAAATTAGACTGTTTACAATAACATAATAAAGTCCAGGGCCTGAAAAATTAAATCAACATCTAAAAGTTCATAAGCCAATCTTAAAGCTGGTATTATTCAGCGTGTATATTTCAGTCCCCCTGAACATATCTGTAGATCATACTAACATTTAGTACAGTAAAAAAAAAAAAAAAAAAAAAAAAAAAAAAAAAAAAAAAAAAGAAAGAAAGAAAGAAAGAAAGAGAGAAAAAAAGAAAGAAAAAAGTGTTCCAACTTTTAAATCCTCCCCAGAGGCTGACTTGTTATTATATTTTAGTGAGGAACTCATGCCGCTGACAGACATATGGTCATGATAAACAACAACAACAAAAAAAAACAAAAACAAAAAAACCCACCAAACATTAAAAAATCATTAAAGATTTTTGTGAAAGCTTCCACTTGTAACAACTTGTTTTTTTTCTTATTTTCCTCCCCCAAAGTACACTAAAGATACATATTCATGTATCTTTCTGGAACTCATCATTCCTAATAGGGTAAACACATGCAAATTATTTAAAATATAGTATAAATGACCAGGCTACAAAAAATACTTTTAGCTACCTGTGAAAAGACACATAATAATGAACATAATAATAATCAGTAAATCATAAAACATTTCAGCAGAGAAAAGATCTAAAATTTAGATTTACTGATTGCACATTTAAAATTCATTCTTCATCATCTAAACCACTCCCCACCGAAGGCCAGTATATATCAAGGGTTATAATATATAGTATATATTTGGTATTGTTCATGTAGAAGTAGGCCACAATCACATTCAAGAAAAATATTAATCCCCACCTTCTTCCCACTTCTCCATTCAAATTGTACCTGTCAAATTTATAATTTTTTTACTTTCTTTTTTCTGAATTTCACCTATGACTGGTTTATTGTTTTGCTAGCCCAGTATTTAATACTTCAATTCCACTTCTGTATGGATTCATATGGCTAACTTAAATATCTAATAAAAAATAAAATATCTTAGTTTTATTTTCTTTTTAAGCAAGATATTTTCTTTTAACTTTCAAACATACTACCAGCCCATTTAAAAAATTCAGACAATAGATACCTAAGTGAAAAGCCATGTCCTCTTTTCACCAACCCCTCCCTCCCCATTCCCTTCTCCATATCCTTTCTCCAGAAGTAAGTACTTCTACAGTTTAGCCTCTCTCCTTTCAGACCACACAGCTTACTATGTGTATCAAATACAAGCATTATGCCTTATTTATAGACACATACAGGTTTCTTGTCTTTAGCATAAGTAAGATCATATTATATATTGCCCTGTGATTTGCTTTTGGTATGCTGTTCAAAGATCTACCTCATTGTTTTTAATATTTGCATAAATTATGGACGTACCATAATTTAACTATTTCTGCATTAATAGAAATCTGAAGAAATTTTTAGAATGGAAACAGAATATAAAGAGCTGATCTGTGTGCAAAAGATCAAACATGTACTTCAGAGCATTCCTGTAAAATAGATATCTGTTGTTCATGATTAGGGAGAATAGTGAGGATACGTGCCTTCATTAAATGCTGTTAAAACTTTATGATATGAAGCAGACGTAGGATAGATTTTTTTTGGAGTATGAACAAAAGTCTTTATTGTTTTACAGTATTTTTAATCTCTCTTTTAGGGTAGCTGGTTTTGTATTCACTTTGGACCATGTGATGTCTTGACACTGGTCATGTGATACAGGCTGTGATACAGGCTGCGATACGCACAAAATCCCTGGGTAGCAACAAAAGAAGAAAGAGTAGAAAGAAAAAGCTGAGAAAAAGCTTGCAATTTGGAAAAAGGCCAATTGTACCCTGGTGAAGGCCTTTTTGATCAGTGAAATGACACATGTGTGCAATATTAATAGGTGCAGTTTTTATGATATTTTATTTGCTGATTAAAGACTTAATTCGTATGTTCATAACATAAGTGGCTTCTAAAAATATAGACATACTAAAACTTTGTTTTGAGTTTAACTTAACCTATAATTCAGGCTTTCAGCAATACTAGAAGCAACTAGCCTACTCTTAAATTAGCATCATTTTCTTCAATGGAAGACTGCTTCCTTGAGGAAAAACAATATTGATATGGTACTGTGTTATTTTTAGTTTAACTCATGCCTATGATTTCTAAGTAGGAATAAAAGATACCCCTCCTCTAATTGTTAGGAAATGACTAATAATACAAGAGTCTTGTGTTTCAAAAGGAAATAAGCCTAACAATAACAAATATTTAAAGACACATTACACCCTGCCACATAGATTATATAAATTAACTGAAAAAACATATTTGAGGTTAAATCAATTCTGTATCACTATCTCCTTATCTGAGATAGTATACAATGATGGAAATCTATACTTAGCCTAGTAATAAAAAAATTAAATTTTCTTCTAATACATCATTACACTATTGTTTTTCGGGATTTAAAATTTTTTAAATTTAAAAAGCTTTTAAAAGCCAGTAAGTTGAACCATTACAAATTAATCCTGACTTTAATAACTGGTTAAAGACCCCTTTAGCTTTATAAGTAACAAAAAATATTAAAGCCTGTGATCACAGTGAGCTTTTCTCATTTCTCCTCTAACCATTTGTTATTTAATCCAATACTAGTAATCCAATTTGTCCATCAGACTTTTAAAGGGCAGAATGCAACTTCCTCAGCTTAGACACTTTTCAAAGTACAATATATTTTTCAAATGAATGCTGGATGTTTCATTTTTCCCAACTGTTCCTAGCTCTAATGCATGAGGAAAAAAAGAACAAGATGAACATTGTTCATACTGATTAAGTAAGAGCTCATTAAAGAGCTGTCAGTGCGGTACTTTGAATATGCATGAAGCATATAATCAGATCTAGTACCGTCACTAGAGGAGAATACGGTAAGTACAAAGGATTGATTTAATTACTTAGAGTGGGCTGTGGTGGTAAAGCAGTCTTGTTAGTGCAAAAAGAAAAAGAGGTTGTATTCTGGCACTGTTAGAAAAAAGGCAGTTTTAGCTTCTGCCACAATACATAATCTCAGAATAAAGCACTTTACATTGTAGCTTAAAATGAAGACTGTCATTATTTTATAAAATGGCCATAAATCATTTTATCTTGTTTAACTTCACCTGGTTAACTACTTGTCTTCAAAATTATCTTTAATTTGTAATTACAGCTACATTTTTGTCACCATAGAGTCAATACTGATACTTTAAAAAATCTAATTTTTTTTTTTTAGTTTTACGAACTGAAAAATCCAAGACATATACTCCTGAAGATCATTTTGAAATAAAAAGTGACAAAATACTACAGGTCAATATACAATTACTGAAATGTAAAAACATGGCTGGGTTGTTATACTGTATTTTAAAACACAGTGCCTCAGATAAATATACTACAAATAACATAATCATATTGACATTTTAAAGTATTGACTAATATAATCTCTGGTACTATATTTTTTCTTTTTTTTTTTTCCCTTAAAGACTTCTGTTTTTTATATTGCCTCTAAGAATGTAACATCTTTTCTGACATCACAATCTCTTAAGGTCAGTTTCTTCTTTTAGCCAATTACTACAGCTGGGATATGATTTGTAAAAATTATTAAATGATCAAGAATAATGATAATGACAGAAAGAGTAACTATGTAAATATAATTTCAAATCATTCCCCCTATGACATAGTTCACAAAACCACTTAAGAGGACACAGCATCATAATATATAGCATTATATGCAGTATAAATACTTAATAAAAGCAGGTTGACTATAGCAACCATTTTTATATTCCATCTCCTCCAAAAAAAAAAAAAAAAGATTTACAGTTAAGATTTAATTTCATTCAAGAATTCATTCATTCATCCAGGAATACGTATGTAGTTTTCATTTATTTTTTTCAGAAGTAGTATTTTCAATGTAAATTTTTAAATGAATAAAAGAAAAATGATGCCAAAAACCTAAAATTATCAATCATATATTCAAAAACTGTCTACCAATTAATCTTCCCTAATTAATCTTCTACCATAAACTTACCTATTTAGAAAGATATATTTTTAGACAGTGAGTACTTATATAAATGTAAAATAAAGAACAATATAATTTTAGCCAAACAGAAGATGATTTCGGTGCGAAAGAATGAAAATACCAAGATGTAGTGGGCTACTGTTGTACATATAAACAAATTCAAGATTTTCTACCTTGAAAACATTAAATGCTGAAATCTTGCCAAAGCCCCATCAAAGAGATGGCTGACCAGTGATCACACATGGCCCTTAAAGGACACAATATAACAAAGCCAAACCAAACATAAAAACAAAAAAGTTGCCATTACAAAGTATTGTCCTGATGGTATGATAACACCAATATGATGGCCTTTGAAAGACAGACTGTATTACAGTAGAGAGACACATGAAGGTATCCAAGTAGCTGGTACTGCAGAAACATATTTTAATAACAAAGGAAGAGAAATCTGGTAGATTTATTTAATGGACAAAAAAGAAGAATTTACTGTAGTTATATAGGGCCATGGACACATGAACTCCTGAAGCCAACATTACTGCAAGATTCTAGTGTATCAGTTTTAGAAAATATTTTAAACTTAGGAGATAGCTTTATTATGAAAACAAATTTTACTATATAAGCAAATAGCTGATAAATGTTTCTACCCCAAGAATATCCTCAAACAGTAATCAATACATGAAGAATCTCATAATCTTTATTGATGTTTTTCAGCAGCAGTGGTCTTAAAACTATTTGCTTGGCATGATATATTTGTTATAGTATTAAGAATATAAACTTTGGGGAAAATCCTATCCCCTTTTGTTACAGTAAAATAAAAATAACATACTCTTTCAAAATAAAAACATCTCTTATCTACTCATTTGGTAAAACAGA